GATGTCTTACGCGATGCATAAACACGATCAAAAACACCCTGTCTTTTGTGCTTGAACACAAACGGGATAGGTGGAATGCGTTAGGTTGGTGAGCACGTGGGCAATACTTACGTCCAGGATTTTTTGTCAATCTGTAGAAAATGATTGAATTTCGGGTGTCTTTTAGTACATTTATGCGAATTGTTTGGGGGATATGTTTGCTAGTGGACCCCGTTCCTGTGAAACGGAGTTACGGTACGGGAAACAGACAAAATGAAGATTTAAAAACTCAGGTCACGCAAATGAAATGTTATGTCAGAAAAGCCCGTAAGACTAAACCATAATGAACGTCTCATAGTAAATAAATTCAATGAGAGTCGGAATAAACATCTGTGGTTACGTAGTCATAGGAGTGAATTAATTTAACGAATACCTAGGAAGGTATGTCCCAATTTTGGTCAGATGATGTATTCTGCCTGAATGGCTTTACTAAAAATACCATCTGGTTTTAAATCCCATTGAAGTGAAAGATAATAATATGTTTGGCAGAAGTTCAATCTAATTGAACGACTAACCCCCAGAATCTATTTTATATTCCAAATCAAGTCCTGTCGTGACGAGAACAGCTCAGCTCATTCCATTGGATAGATAGCGAGTAGCATGCTCACCGTGGTGTGCATGCAAACGATTCATAATATAGCAATAAATTAACTTTTTGTGTAGGAACACGAGATCATTGAAGTCAAAGATTCCGAGTTTCTATAAAGTTGGTTGTGAACAAATTACTTTGGGCCAAATATGAAGCAAAATTAAAGAGATGCTAGGAAAACAGTAAGCGGTAATTCAACGACCAACATTTGGGAATGGAACCTATTCATGTACGGGGACAGACTTGTTTTAAGATACGGATCTATGAATTGGGTGACGGTTGGAGAAATTTATCAAGAGGCAAAGTATTTATCAACAATGAATTCAGTTATAGACCAATAAGGTACGCCACTGGTGCGCGATGTAACTTTGATAAATTGATGTATAACAGTATAATGCTTAATTAATTCGATTATGATCATAAACTTGGCAGTATTTATTTGTACAAAAAATCGGGTAAAGAATCTGATGGACAGGTGAGAAAGAAATACGCTTATGGTATTCGGGAGAGAGCTTAGAATAACACAAAAACGGTTGAATAAAAAGCAGGCATACTAAACGAAACGTCAGCAGTTCAAACCAGTTCATTCAGTGTCAAGTTTTCCAATAGAATGTATGCACTTTTCCACAAAAGAAAACTTCTAATTTCGAGGGTAGTTCTTCTGAGAAACCTTCCTTAGGCAGTTCAGTTCAGTTTCAGTTTGTACAACCATTAACCATGCACTATCGTGCGCCGGTTTTGGTTGCTGTCTTTTGGCTGCCCATTTGGATGCACATTAGAAGAAAGACAGCAAAACGTTGAAAGTAGGATCAAAGGGAAAATTTGGATCTTCAGTGGACTAATATTGCAAAGAAATTGACAAGATGAACGAACTCCACTGTTTACGACAGCCAGTTTTTCCAACCATCGGTTACGATCATCTCGAGGTCCCCATTCAGGGAGCCTAACGGGACCTGTGACCCAGACTTCTAGTTAGGGTTTTCATACCCTCATACCAGGTCTTAGCAGTTAGGAAAATCAAATTATAAGTTTTCTTCTGGATAAAATCACTCGGAGAAATACAAGACAATTGGATCTGACTCACTTGAAAGAATATTACCGGATACACAAGACCTATTAGCAATGAGCCTTCAGAGAAATCCGCCTAATCATTTAGATACTGTCTATCACAAAATTGAGACACATCAAGCATTGAAAACCAAATGCTCTTTTAACCTCATCCGTATTTTTAAGTATACACCCAAGGCTTTTTACATCTTGATGTCACTCTGTATAAGTTGTTACCATTTTTTCGACCAAATATTGGAAAACACATTTTAATTTTGCATCCAGTGTAATGGTATCATGCATATGTGTTCGAGTCAGACTGCTGTTAGATAAACTGCACTGCTTCAAACACGTATCAAACGAGGATAACGCATCACTACATGAACACAAAGGTTAGTTCGCGTGCGGGGCAGCAACATATTAACTTTGATTGTTGCTCTATCACTTGAAGAAAATTTGGTATGGCCTACCTAATATTGTTTCAGCCACAATTCACACCATTTGAAATAATTATTTAAATACCATACTTCCGATATTATACATTATCCACATGCTCACTGCGCATTCGGCACTGTACTATCCAGGCGACAGGGGCAGGGGAATTTATCGAAACCGATGTTAATAGCTACTCGTGTTATACTAACTATTGTGGAGCACATCTGTGTTGACTGTGCCTTATTAATATATTGCATTATAAATCACCGTCTATGGTTGTAATGCGATATATATATATTTAACACACGCCTGCGGACAAGCATGGGGCCAACGCCACAAGAGTAATAAGTATAACAATGAAAATACCAAGGAGTGGGTGGATTGGGTCACAGAACTGAGTGAAAAGAAGGTGAAACAATTACAATGGAAAATAGTTGATAAATGGAGTAATAAATTTTGTTTCACCGTACACTTTGTGATATTTTATGTATTAATTTTCGTTGTTTTACGGGGTACGGAATATTTTACGGGTAGGCTGTACCGCAATCGTGCCTCTGACTTCTATTCTAGGCTATATCTCTCAGCATCTCTAACCC